GCCGGGCGCTCCAACGGTAAAATCCATACTGCGCCACTGTATCGAATCCCGCACCGCTGGCTGCGGCGCTGCAAAAAGCGTGACATAACATTCTTATGTCGCAGTTCAAGTGCATTGTTACAGCCGGCCGCGCCAGCATAATATAATCTAATGAAATAACACGTCGCGTCGGGTCGCTGCCGTGCTAAGGAAGAACGCCGTATGAACATCCAGGAGTTGTCAAATTTCCTCCGAAAAAATGTTTATTTCTCCGGCACGTTATGCATATTTTTCCTTGAAATTTTCAGGGACTTCAGGTGAAATTGCGAACAAAATTATCTGAAAAATTTGACGAAAAACATGCATAAGTTCACCAGGAAAATCGCATTTTATCTAAGGAGATTTTGCAACGCCTGGAGGCTCTTACGGCGTTTTTCCTTAGCACGGCGGTGCGGGGGTGGGATACGGTCACCTCTGGCAATTGGAAATTTGCCCGTTCCTCGAGTGGGGACCAGTGGCGTGGCGTGAATCGCGCTGTGTCGATTTCTATGCCATTTAAACCTATGGTAAATAATCGATTATTAAGGTGTTCGCTGCGAACACCCTGTTTATCGATCCTTTTCCACAGGTTTAAATGACAGATCAATCGATATATCGCAAAGCACGCCACGCCACTGGTGGGGACCGGGAGACGCGGGCGCTCTGGCAACGGTGACGGACCCGGAGTTATTTACGACGGCACGACCGTCCATCCAGCGAGTGCAAAGGACTTAACTCTCCACTCGTGACTCGGAGATTGTCCGGTCGGCCCGGCGCGGCCCGCATCTGCCCCGCATTTTCAGCAACGTTCCGAGGGTCCGGGAAACTTTCGGAGCTTGCGGGTATCAGTGTGAGGTGTGCTGGGAAAATGCGGGTTCTGACTGATCGCGGGAAAACTCCCTCGGTAACGCAGAACGCTGAATGGGTGTTCAAACTTATCCGGATTTCCTCAGATTTCACTTGAAAATGGTTTCTTTATTTCCTACCCGAGCGTTCAAGTCTCCGAATAATTTCAAGGCAAACGCTCATTCAGGCATCATACTTTAAAAGACGGGATAATCTGATTGATAACTGGAGCAATTTCAAATGGAAAAATCAATTGTGATGACGTCTCAGAAGTCAGGAATGAGACGTCTTTTTTTCTTAGCCCAGCGTTTAAGTCTCTAAATAATTTTACAGCAAAAGCGCGCATCCAGGCGTACCCACCCCGTTTCAAATGTGGTCCAATTCGAAGTTTTTATCTTTCACTGTTTGCGGATCACACGTAATCTGGAATTTAGTATTATACCGATCCTCGTTCTCAAAATTTCAATATTCTCCCCATCCGCGGACGTGAAATATTGCATCAAAACTCGCCCGCATCAATGGGTGTTCAAACATATCCGGATTTCCTCAGATTATGAAATGAATTTTCTCGGTAATTCATAAAATGTGTTCCCCCTACGGAATTTTAGTCTCAACTGAACCTGAACCATTAAGAGCCGCTTTTTCGGCTCATTTTTAAAAACTACGATGAAACTGAGTTTTATGGCAACGCACCGACGCGCATTTTCAGGAAATTGAGTTAAGAGTAGTTTAGAATCCATGATCGTAAATTTTCTCTGTTTGAGCATTTTGAATTCATTTGAATTTGTTTTCGTAATTTTGAATGTGCAAATAGTCGTCAAAGGTTGTCCGTGACACTGAGTCTTATAGAAAAGTGAAACTTTCAACTTCTTTTTTCAATGCAAACTCAAAACCACTCGGTGTGTTTCTGTGCGGATGTGTCTTTGGTATCCCCACCTAGGAAGGTGATTTGGCTGATTAGGTGGAAGCGCTGAAATTGGTGGTCCCATGCATATGAAAGGTGGTCCCATATTGGTTCCATATTGGTGGTCCCAAATTAAGTCGAGTTTAACCATACACGTCTGTGAACTTCATACTCTAAAAAGGGAAAATATTCATACTTTTTCTAAAAAATAAATAGTTTGCCAAAAAAAGTGGCAGTTTTGAAGTTTGATACGGTAAGCATAGTCATACCTACGGCCACTCAAATGAGAGCTCAAAAATTGAGAATTCACAGCCACTTCCTCTATCATGTATAAATAATCCTGTTATCTTGAAACCCTGTGCTTTCTGTAAATGAAACTGAGCTCCCCGTAGAGCCAACTGCTTAAAAGGAATTGAATTTTAATAAGGCTCCGTCTGCATTTCATGTGTATTAAAGGTGCCAACATACCTCCAGCAACCGAAATCTGTACGGTTTGCCATTTATTCAGACCAAATTCAACAAAAACGCCAATTAAATTCCGGGCGATATATCACACGTCGCGGTTAATCCTAGAGAATTTCACCTTTCGGTCGGCTCATTTGCAAAATACAATCGGAAGGAATGAAAAAGGCAACTCGTGCCGGCCAATTTTGCATAATGCGTCAATTATACAAACCGACGATGAATCATTGATCCTAATCTCTCCTCTCCACCGCACGACAAAGGAACTAAATCAATGATGCTAATTTTGAAAAGCTGACCCATTTATCCTCCGCGAGGTTCGATGACCCTGCGTGGGCTGGACCCTTTAAACCTAAACTATGACTCAAATTCGTACTGTAACGAGTGAGAAGTTATCCTCGAAACTGAAATGCATATTGTCTATGCCATGCTGCCGTGCTAAGGAAAAACGCCGTATGAACCTTCAGGCGTTGCCAAGTTTTCTCCGATAAAAACCGAATTCACTGAGTAAATTGTGAATTTTATATGCTAAAATTTTCGGACAATTTTGCACGCAATCTAATCTAAAATATCTGAAAATTTCAAGGAAAAATATGCATCAATGTTGCCAAAAATACATGTTTTACACTGGGAAAAATAGTCTCTTGGATCCGGAGTCCAGACTCTTAAAAAATTCGACAAGAAAAAATGCTCTTGATTCAATCGGATTTTCCCTTGAATCAAGAGCCCAGCCTCTTAATTTAAGCTGATTTCCTTTTTGTTCAAGAAAATATCCAATTGAATCAAGAGTATTTTTACTTGTCGAATCTTTCAAGAGTCTGGACTCCGGATCCAAGAGACTTTTTTTCCCAGTGTAAAACATGTATTTTTGGCAACACTCATGCATATTTTTCCTTGAAATTTTCAGATATTTAGATTAAATTGCCTATAAAGTCGTCCAAAAATATTAGGAGATCCGCTTAAATTAAGAGGCATGGGCTCTCGCGATCCAAGGGAAAATCCGATTGAATCAAGAGTATTTTTTCCTGTCGAATTTTTTAAGTGTCTGGACTTTGGATCCAAGATACTTTTTTTCCAGTGTACCAAGGGAAATTTGGCAACTCTCGAATGTTCATACGGCGTTCTTCCTTAGCCCGGCAGTATGGGTCTCTTTTGTTCCGCCTAACCTCATCCAGAGGTCAAGTACATCTGCAGTGTATGAATATGTAATCTGTTATCCGAGATAATCTTTGATTGTGGCAATAATTCCACAAACAAAGTATCGTACGAGCGCTGCGCAGGCAGGAGCGCCCGATATCGGCTCATGCACCGCTATCGTTCGTACACATCGGCCCAACGAAACCGCACCGAGGAGCTTTTCTTCTTCTCCAGCAATTCCACGTATTCTCATCGATCCTGAAAAAACTAATCAGAGAATTATGCGCTTCGCGGTCAATACACCTACCGGTCTTGAACTCCCGAGTCGTAAAACCAGTTCTCAACAGTTGATGAAGCACCTTAGATATAGAAATTTTGCAGTATTTACTCTCCATTTGTACGCATCCACATTCCACCCATTCCGGTTACTTTAATTTCCTTTCGGAGTATAATCGCTTGTAGGTTTGTGTATCTAACGGTGCTAATTCAGCGAATATGACGGAGGTCTGAATGAATTCAGAAGATTGAGACCGTAACCTTTCAATGAAGAATTTGCACGCAGCTTTTTTATGATTTCATCAAAGAGTGCCCAAAGCGCTGATTTCGCCGTATTTTTTATGATTTTTCTCTGCATGGGAAATAAATTGAAAAGTGCGAAAATGCACCGTCAAGTGACGTCATAAGGCGGCATTTTCTATTTAAGCACTCAGTTTTCTCAGTGGTTTCCATTTAAACACGAAATTCATCAAATTTCAGACACCTGCAAATTCTCATTGGAGCTTCAAAACTCTTTATGACATGATGAGTCGCCTGGAGAACAATTTCTGTAATCCCTCTTTTTTTCTCTGCGCAGTCTAACCAGCAGAATATTTTTCAATATTCTGTAAAGTTTTTGATAATGCCTGGGACTGCTTAAAAAAGAGCATAAGATCTGTTACAGGGTCATTTCTTGTGATATCATCCAATGTTGATTGCCCAATCGACTTGAAAACCCTTGACAGAAAATCATGTGGACTATTGAGGGGTAGTTTTGGGTTTTCTAAAGCAGATGGTAAAAGAAAGTGCCTTCAATTTATAAAGTTTGCAAAAACCCGCAATCCATAGTCCTACACTTAATTGGAATTTCTTGCAATACATAATGCAGCTATAACCGAACGGTATCAGCGGGGAAATTCCCAAACCACGTGCTCCAGGTTGTGACATCGCAGACTTCTAAGTCTTCCTTGATTTTGTCAGCGGGGAACTATGCAACGTCGTTCCTTTTGATTTGAAAAATACTTTGAGAAAGTTTTAAGGTGTGACATTGATTCTCTCGTAGATATTTGTTAATTAAACATTATTTTTTTTCTTTGAGAAAAATTATCGATGTCTTTCCTTGAAATTTCAGGAAAGATAGATAAAATTGCGAATAAGCTCACAAATTTCTGAGAAAAGTCACGTTTTACAAGAAGAAATATGGCGACGTCCTAACATTTATACAGCGTTCTACCTCAGCACGCTAGACTTGCCGTGTAATTTTGGGGTCCTTACCCCAACATTCGCGTCTGTGTTGGTCTGGGTTTCGCACAATTGTTTTGCGTTTCTGTGTGATGCACCATCCGATGTTTAATGCATGAACTCTTCTCTGTTTCAGGTGAGAGGACAGGGGGGTGTCGGTTATGGAATCAAAGGGAGGGAGGTGTTCTTCTTGAACCTGGAGGATGGATTCTTCGGGTGCCAAGTGAACGAGTCCACGCAGGTCCTCCAGCTCTTCGAGCTATCAAAACTCTGCGATGGCAAACGGGACTGCTTTCGCGGCACCGACGAACTCGCCAAAGAGCTTAAATGCACAAGTAAGAAATATTTTTTTATTTTTCCTTACAAGCATCATTCACCTTACTTTTTAGGCAGTTCTACCTGTATCATCTTTATCCTCTCGTTAGTATTCCTTGTGTGCAACAGACCATTCTGCCATGCTAACGAAGAAAGCCGCATGAACATTCGATAGTTGCCAAATTTCCTTCGATAAAGTGTTCATTTTCAAGGAAAGTTATGCATATTTTTCCTTGAAATTTTTGGGAGCCTTAGGTGAAATTGCGAACAAAATTATCTGAAACATTGGAAGAAAAATACTCATAAGTTTACCAGGAAATGCGTGTTTTATCAAAGGAAATTTGGCAACGCCTGAAGGTACATACGGCGTTTTTCCTCAGCTCGGCAGTATTTGAGGATAATTTCTTCAGAACGGAGTCATCATCCTCTCCGGATTTTATACTCAAAGATAAAATACTTTACGGACTGTACACTAGGCTTCAAGAGGTATGGACTATGGACGAGTGAAGCAGGCATTTCATTCGGGTTCAATGTTTCCTTATGAGCAACAACACTTACCTCAGTTTAATGATTACCGGTGTATGCCGTACTATGTACTTCGCTACCAAGGCAGTTTGCCAAACGGGGTCTTGTTTGCTGCACATGAATATCACACGTCTTTCGTCCGTTTACATCAGGCGGTTTAGTAGCGATCCCTGCAGGGTATTTTTACATTGTAGGACCAAAAAATTAATATGGGATGACTAAAATAGTTTTTTTCTGGTTATGTAGTCCTCAAAACAGAATTGACGGAGAAATCTTTAAAGCTTCTCTCGATTTACGAGTTTCCAAAGTTTAAAAAAAAAAATTGTGTCTGTAGACCAGAGACCATATAAATGCACTCATTTTTAAGTCACTGTCTATTCACCCGTGGACCACGTGATTTTTCTCTTTATGAAGAAATCTCCACTAAATTAGCTATCTGACATGGTCCGACGTAGAGAAAAACGTCACATGCATGTTTTATCTTCAAGAGCCTACATACATATAGCAAACAATCCACACAATAAGAAGTTTTGAAACAATTCCCGAACGAGTTATTAACAAAGTCTTTTAAACACAGATATCAAATGTAAGTTCAATTATACGAATGACGTCGTTTGTATTTTTGCCATTTAACCAATATGCTAACACAAAACACTTATATCGTTCAGGAGTTGATTTTCAGACTTCCCGTCGTGTGATTTGTTTTCTTTGCAGAATTCTGAAGAGCGGAATCACGTGGCGTTGTGCTTTAATTTATACCTTTCCTTGAAGCCCATTACTTGTGGAAATTATGATTTATTTTACCCATTCTGCATAGAGTTTCCTCAGCATTTATCGATCATTTGAGAGTTATCGGTACACTCGGTTATATCACAATTTCACACTATCCGTATCAACACAGGATCTAGTAACGTCACGCGTGAAGCGGTCCTACGGGATTTCCGACCTTCGGTCTGGAGCAATGATTACTTGCGGTTTCCGCCATCTGATTTAAGGGAGTTCACAACTATATCATTTTCACATCATGGTTTAGTGGCCGTTTAGCTCGAGTAAAAACTTCGGGAAAGGGAGGAGTGCGATGGAGGGGAGTGAATATTTTATTATACGGTGTGTCGCTTCATCGGTGAATAAGCGCGCGAGACCGTGAAACCGTTCGTGGCTAGGGCCCTAATGGCTTAATCGCAAGCTTTGTCCCAACGGTTTACGCCATGATGTGAGCCAAGATAGCTGAAAATACTGGATTCTATTGCCGGACGAATACGTATACACTGCTTGCAACAAAAAATAAAATAAAAAAATACATAAATTGCAGACATCTTTTTTGGGTCCCTATATATTTTACTTCACCCTATTTCTTTGACGCATTCACCCAAAAATTACGACGGGAAAGCTACCCTCAGTCCTTTCGTACGAAAACTCATCAAATGAAAAGGTATACAAGAACTTCATGCACGCCGACTTGCTGAATGGGATAAAATAGCAGAATAGTTGTAGAGTATCAGGAATAAAGAAGTCTTTTCAATGGTTATCCTGGAAAAGTCCTGAAAGTCATTTCAATGGTTATCCTGGAAAAGTCCTGAAAGTCATTTTTAGCCAAACTCAACTCTCGTCTCTGAGCATACTTTGTGGAAAAAATGAACCTTATCGAAAACTGGCAGTATATGTCGGAATGAATTTGGCAAAAATGTTATACAAGTAGCTTTCACTGTTAGCCTCTGAAATTGCTTTGACGAATTATTGAAGGCAACCAGACCAGAGTGAGCGTGAATCAAAGAAAGTAGAACATAATGTTAGTCTGTTAATGCTTTGCCTAAAACAAAATTAACACGGCTAAACTGCTGCGAGCAACTATTAGTGCTTCCAAGCTGCTCACATTGCCTACTCTGATTATTGAAGGCGAACTGGACCGATGGCGAGCGAAACACCGCCGCTCAGTCGGATCTGTCCGTTTATCCTTCGTTAATACGAATAAACATCCGCGTTCGAAACATTTTCATCAACATTAAACGCACCCCTGGCACCCTGAATGAGAAGGAGGATGTTCCCCGTCAATTTTGAGAGGAAGCATCAAATTATTCATCGAACTTCAACTGGATGCCTAAGAATCGAATGGTCCCAAGCTAGCGAACTTCATTACTGCGGCTCGATGTCACTTAGGAGTTGGTATTGACAGGTTATCCGTGACTGAATCAATTGCAGTTGTGCAAAGCTATTGGTATTCCAGCCGCTCTTCGCGACAGTGTTCGATACGTGTATGCCGTTGTTACACTGATAGGAGTCGAGTTTACGGAGTTCCCATGTTGGACGTCTCTTCGCCTGCATTCAGTCGTCACTTTGCGTTGCCGCAAAGGCGCTTTAAACCCATCGATTTTGTTCTCTCGAAATCGCTCAGACAGAGAGGAATTTCACGGAGTTTCATACTAAAAAATAAAACATTATCCTCTAACAAACATGTAAAATACTTTAGTTTCTTCGTTGCTTTGGCGATGAAAATACTTACTTCGGATCGCATCCTCAAGACTCAAATTTTTGTTTATAATTGCACAAACATTATTCCAGTAAAATTCTCTCTTATTTTTAACTGTGTCTGCACGACAGTACAATTTAATACCCAATCAGGCCAACCTCTTCACATTAAGCGCCGCACAGTGGATCGAGTCAATGGGAGAGGTCGGACAACATTTGGAAACTTTAAAAGCTTATAACGCCGTTTATACAGAACTTTGAGATTTTAAAAGTGGTTCCATTGGTTTCCTAGAGCAATTTTTTTCTAGAAGCATCCCCTGAAATATAAAATGTGACGAATTAAACATCAAAATTTGCAGTTTTAGTCAAAAATTTCTTGTCCGACCTTTCTAATTTACTAGATCCACTGTGCACCGTATCAGTACCCCAGAGCCAAAAGGCACTTAACTCAGACTTTCGGAAAAATCGAGTCAGTATGGTATTTTTGAGATCTCCATTAACGGTTCCGGGTGTGCGGAAAATTTGGTAACCCTGTCTTACGCCGATTATGAGTTACGGAGTTTCAAAAATTGCGATTTATATTGGAATCAATGGGGCCGACGCGCGGTTTTTCCCTAAAATCTCAAAAATACTGAAATGGAGGTATAGGAACTTTTTGCCTCTGAGGTACTAATATTATTCTGTATATATAAAATAAGGCACATATTATGTCACATTTTTCTCTGTTGCTTGAACGACCCAATCCTGCTTATCCAGCGGTAGAAACTCTTCTAGAGTAACATACCTTCATGAAAATGCCCAATTGGTTCCCGATTCTTAAGTCCGATTAATGACTGTGGCAGAACTGCAGAAGTGGCTGAAGCCTCGATATTTCCATAGTGATTTGACTTGGTCCGCAAAACCATTATGCAATTTTTCACAACGCACTCACCGACAACAGCGCGAGTCGTCTGTTCTTCGGACAGGACCCCGCGAACAGTTCCAGTCTCCCTCTAACCTAAAGACCCAGGACCCGAGGGGGCTTCGGCGATGACTGACGGAGTAAGAATGGTCCAGGAATGGGGTCAGGTGACCCCTAACCCGCGCGCCTCTTCAAGGGCCACTTACGGGCCGCCGTATTCAAGTTTGAGGCGTAATCGGCACTCTATTAAGTCAGTTAGCTGTATATACTTAGCACAAGTCGGTAATGGAAAAGATGCCAGATCGGTGCGTTATAACCGTGTTTGCCGATTGTTCTGAAGAGAACAAGAACCGCTTCAGCACCGGCCGGTCAACTACGCACGATTGACCCTGGACCGCGTTTTCAAATGACAGGCATGTTCAATTAAGAGCGAGATTAGATTGGCTAAAGTTCGCTTGAACTTGGTGCAGGAGCCCTTACGCGTTATAGTAATAATGTAACGTATCCTCAACTTTGAGCCCTCTAAAATACGTTGATATGCCTTTGATCTCGGGGTCAGGGTCTTTGAATCCTAAGATAATGCTTCACATCCCCAGCTGGGATACGTAATGCAATTAAGTCTTGGAGTTAATTGTTTGACATTTTTAATGAATCCAAAGGATGCGCGGAAAATTTTGTGAGCGGCTGTTCCGTCTTCAGAGATTATTAAGGACCCGTCTTGAATTTTCGAACCAAAACTCAGAAACTTAAATTCTCGCTTAATTTTAAGATCAGCCACGAGGTAGAATTTTCAGACATTTTGGAGGTATAAAAAATGTCTAATCGGAATTCCGAATTTTTTTTCTTAAAAAACGTCGATTTTCTAAGAATGGCATGTAATGGTGTAAAGCTCTATCAGGTATCCCTCATAATGTTACTTTCCAGAAAAATGAACATAACTCCGTCCCAAGACCAAACATTAACTCAAGCAATTCAATGTTTTAAAAAATCTACGACCCTGCTAAGTCTATCCGAAATTTTGCTGGTTTTTTTTGTACAGTCATTGTAAAAATACAGTCTGCGAGTGCACATTTTTCAAATTGAAATGTACTTACGTTCTTTTGTCCGGAAAACGACCATACCGACGGT